CTTCAGCCCAGCAACTGTACTTGGTATTTATACGACCAGATAGGACCGAAATCAGAAAGTCACTCTAACTGATGCAAGCATGTGTGGATGTTACTCGGCACTGTGATCCAAGTGGGGTCTGGAGCAAACCAGGGGTTACAAAAACTAACCCTAGAGTACTTCCCAAAGCGACCTCCGAGCTGCATCCTGGAAATGGGGAGGTGGCAGCGGGGCAGCTCTGGCTTGCTTCATTAGAGAGCTCCCCATTTTCCACTAATGACTCCGCATAGGAGAGACTCTGCCTGTGCCGCCCTCTGATTCGAAGCATGCACCCTAGACAGGATGCCCCACCTTCACCCTTGCAAGGAGCAACCACAGTAAAAGGCAAAGCCCTGAGCCCCGGGGTGCCAGCCCAGAGCCAGCAGACACGATCCAGCCTGCTGTAGCCACCGACCACCTGACCGCCCCACCTCCAGAGGCAGCCTGGCACGGACGACCCTCTGAAGCCCGGACCCTGAGTTGGCTCCCGACAGCTAAAGCCCACCTGCACGTCCCGAGCCCTAGGCAGGCCTCCGGCAGCACCTCGGGGGCTCGACTTGGCCCCCCGCTGCCACTCGGAGCACTCGGCTCTGTAAGATCCCATAGTGCTGCTTTGCAAAATGGAAGGGAACTAATCTCACTGCTGGCCACGTTCCAGCTTTGAGTAATTACATTCTTCTGACAAATTTTCCTTGGCAGTTTCAATGGAATATAATTAGTAAATGTAAATAGATGTAAATAGTGCTGTAAATTACACTTTGCGTGACTGTCAGAAGCAGAGGGGGAGAGTGAGGGTGAAGGGGCAAAAAGAGCGGAGCTGCGTTCTCCAGCACGGAGGATGCCGTGGCCCTCCCTGCCATCAGACCGTGCCCGACTGCCAGGACGGCATGCTCTGGGCTCCCGCAGCAGCAGCCGCCACGATCCGGGACCATCATCGCGTGGTTTGTCACGCCGATCACCCGCTTCACCTCAAGCACGGCTGTGACCTGACGCTGTTGGGTCCTGGCCCACAGCTGTGCTCGCCAACAGCTGCTGTCCCCCGCCTCGGCTGCGCCGCTGCTTCGGCAGCAGGCAAACCGCTTCACGCACACAGCGCGCAACTGCAAAATGTGCGTATATGATATTGTTGTTCTCTATGAAATGCTTATCAAATTCGTGAATGCTTTGTGAAACATTCTGCTACCAACTGAAGAGGTGTCATATAAATGGAATTATATAATTATCCTTCACAGCTATTTTAATGCAGCTTCTTGTACTAGTTTCACTTAAAGTGGAAATAGCTTCTTCCAAAAATAAATGCATAAATTTAACTTCACATAGTCAAGCAGATTTAAAAGCAACTATTTAAAGTAATGAAAATAGATTATAATGTATACCTTTATTATATTATCTACATATTAGTACTCTTTTATGTGTCAGATGTCTCTTACGTACATCATCTGCTTCAAATACAAAATGATAGGGTGGTGATGCACTGGCACAGGTTGCTCAGAGAGGTGGTAGATGCCCCATCCCTGGAAACCTTCAAGGCCAGGCTGGTGGGGGCTCTGAGCAATCTGATCCAGTTGAAGATGTCCCTGACCATGGCAGGGGGGGTTGGGCTGGATGACCTCTAAAGGTCCTTTCCAACCCAAAGCATTCTATGATTCTATGATATGGCTAGTGGGCTCAATATTTATTTTATAGAGAAAATTTGAAGATGCTTTTTCAATAATTCACTTTATTTTTATTCAGAATTTGCATATAGAAAACAGCTAGCAGAAACTAGTAAAATGAAGGGAAAGTTTATTTTCTTAACAAAAGCTTGTTGCACTATTTAGCTATAACAGGAGAAACAGATGTTTCAGCTTTACAATACCATGTCTTGCAAAACTTCCTTCTAAACGACTATTCGTGCTCTACATGTTTTGGACTGTGTATGGGGAGCTCTGCTAACAGTCATGGGAAGCATTGCATACATTAGTAAAGCCCACATTAAGATAATTAGCGCTAAAAAAAAAAACCAACAAGCCTTTTTTTCCCCTTTATAGTATTGATTTAGTGTGGGTGAAAAATGCCAGATTTTCAGTCTTGAAGATTCATGTTCCACCACAGAGCGGGAGATGGAGCCAGCTTTTCCCAGTGTTCTGCCAATAAACTCTTACATTAACCATCTCGGGGGCTAGGAGGAAGAGCCAGGCTCTCCGGTCTATCAACCCTCAGTCTCTTCTGATGAGCCTAAGAACATGCAGAATGGGGAGCACACTACCTGCTACAAGGACTCAAATTCTTCATCTTTGCGGCTGTAGCTACGCAAGTATTTTCTCATCAAAAATTTTCAAAATTGCTGTGGACAACAGAAACGAGCAGGAGGCAGCACTGGAGCTGCGCTGCCGCAGAGAGGGCTCCTGGCAGCAGTAGCAGCTATGGGAAAAATGTCTAGAGTGGAAGAGGCCTCTGAAGCTCATCCTGTATCTTATATGTGTATCTTCTAAATGGCAAACTGTTTTAATACAGACTGTTTTCATAAGGTCTCTGTAACCTTTTGCAAATCCTGTGATGAGTTATACACATCGTTTAACTCTTGGTCTGTCAGTGATTCTACCTTCTACAGATCCAGAGTCAATATGGACTCAGGCACATAACCAGATGTGATTGGATTATGGCAGCTTAAAAAATTACTGCCTGGTCCCTCAAGATGCTGAAGTCAGGGCAGTTCAAGGTAGCAGCTGTTGTCTAGCATTAAATAGTATGCTAAGAGCATGCACAGAAACAGCTCTGTGGATAGGTGGCTACTTGCTAAGCCACCTTACAGCTGGAGCTTATTCCCCTGGGGAAGGATCCACTGCAGACATGCCTCTGAAGAGAGTAACGTGTCCTGCTAGAACGTTTAGTATCTATTTTAGTAGTAGAGCTACCCAGGTTAGTTGAGGATGACATTATTTTGCTCAGTGTTTGGAAAGGTTGCTTTAAAACCACTTGCTTTCAGGCAAAGTGATAATCAGTCCAAGCACTGTAAGATTTTTATAATGGAAGGCCAACACATCTTTTTTCATTCAGCCTGCAAGAGTAAACCGAGCACAGCTGTTTTACTGAAAACAACCCACTGGTATTTAAGTAGATTAACAAAATTAACTGTGAAAATCCTCTGCTATGTGAAAGCCAATAACCTGTCGGCCACAAGGAGGCAGGGCAACGATTCAGTAAACTCAAAGAAATAGCTTTTATTAAAAAAAAAAAAAGAGGAGCATTAAATTAGTTCAGTCATGAAACTCTGAACTGCTAGGCAAGATAAAAAGCACTTTTCAGCCACAGCGTGTGGTTTCAGTATTGCTGTTTTATTCCAAGAGCAGCAAATATCTTAAGATATCAAACAATAGCTGATCTGGCAGCAATTTTCTGCTTCTTTTGAAGAAGCAGATCACACATGTTTCTTCTTCATCACTTCTGTGTGATGTAGAGAAAAACTCTAACACTAAGCTTTGATAGCAACAGTGGATTTACCAACTCGGAGCAAGAAGCCGTACTGCCAGGTTCACAGGGTGTTGATGCCAAGCTAGTAAATACTGCTTCTGGGCAGCTTTGGGAGCTCTGCTCTTCACTCCCTTGGCACTTCTCACTCTGGGCCAAAAGCAGGCAGAGGCAGTTTGGTGTCTGTAGTCACCTACCAAGAACCTTATGCACAGTACAATACAGTGACGCCCCCCTTAACTAGAACTTCAGGACGTTCCAAAATCAGCACTAACTCAAGGTCAAACTCCTAAATGACAAAGGGGCAAAAAAGGAAAATAAAGCCAAAGTATCTCTGTTTCAGAGTTAAATTGAAAATGATCACATTTAACAGTGAAACAAAGCCTTCCACAATATCAGCACACCACACTCCAAATCCATGAGTGAGCTTCTGTTTTTGATGAAGTGACTTTTACTCCTAGCTCGGCCACTGCATGCTACTGAGCTAGGTAATTTCAGCCGCCTATGCCTCTGTTTCCTCTTCTTTTAAGCAGCTGATTTTCTTCTTTGTGAATCAGTATGAGGTCCATGGATAAAAAAACACGCTACAAGAACTAGTTATTATTAATGCAATTCAGATATGGAATGCACCAGATGGTAAAATCTCCAGGATTTTAATGAACTATTGTAACAGAACATATGTAATATGATGTTATTATAACAGGCATTTAAATGTATAGTTAGTACATACAACGTGACCTGTTCTGCTCTCAGTAACTCCACTGGAATTATTTTGGATTTATGTCAGATAATACTAGGAACACAAAATAGCCCCATATGTGCAATGTGGTAAGGTTTTCATAGCAATGCTATCTTAACTATTGCCTTGCCCTGTTTTTATGTTTTGCTGGGCGTATTGTATTTAGTGGTCTGTTAGAGTATGCTCTCTGCATTTAAGTCTGAGCAGGAAGTAAAAGAACCCCCTCAAGTCAAAGACTAAAATGCCTCTGAGCAAGTATCATTATAAAATAGTTGCCATGAAGCAGCAAGAACTTTTTCGTTTTCCTCCACTATACTCTGTAAAAATTATGTCTTTGATCACATTTTGCTAGACTTAGTAAGCAATTCATACTTGTGTCAGAAGAGCCAATCATTCAGTTTCAGATCGTGAGGGCAGTAGTACCTCCCTTCTCCCACAGCATTTGAGTTCTGGACAAGATGAATTACCTCACTGGGCAAAGGTGACTAAACAGGACTGCAGCTCAAGCGACTGGCATCACACAGTACAGTTAGAGACAGGTACTGACTTCAGTAAAGGAGGAACATGGAGATACTATCAGAATGTATAATAATTCTAGCACATCTACACTACAGACTACAAAACTCAAGTGAATTGACATTTAATATGTGAGAGGCTGGAAGCATGATACCAATTTCACATCATAAATTAGCCTTTGTGCTAGTGCCCAAAGATTTGGCTGATTACTCATCGCTTTCCCTTAGTGCTTAAGCAGTCTTTTCCAAAGCAAGACAGTTAAACCACAAAAACGTACCGTAGTGTCCACAGCCCTGACCTTCCCAGCAGGAACGTGTTTTGGAATGGGTTCTTCTACTGATATCATCACGCAGCCTTCTGCTCCAAGAGTAACAATTACGAGCTTACACCCTCTTCCTAACAGCATGTGTCCCACCTTTTCAGCATCTTCAAGGTTGCCAACTGGGATGCCCGTTAAAATTTCTGCCTGGAAAATAACCCACGCAAATGAAAATCATAATCTGACAGCACTCATTTTTGGACAACAGTTGCATTTGAAAACAGTATTTAGTATCTTTTTAAAATGGGTATTATAGGATGATCATGAAACCCCTTCCTACGCTGATATTCAGCTATGTCTTGCTCCTCGTTTGAAATCAGCGTGTACTTCAGGCACAGCAGACTAATGGCGAGCAGCCTAGGCAGCGACGCAGGAGGCATGGGTTCTGTTCCAGCTTCTACGACTTGCCTGGCGTGCAACCCTTAGTAAAATCACATTTCTCCCACATGCCTCAGTTTCTTCATCTGTGAAACGGACAAATGACACAGCCTTGGCAAAAGCATCTTGTGGTCTAATGTGAAAAATGCTACACGGCAACTTGGTCACTATTGTTCAGGGATATTTATCACTAAGTGAGAAACTTTTGAAATTCTTTTTTAAACTCTCTGTGTTCAGGTAGAGATAAATCACAGGGAAAATCTCTTCAAGGAAAAAAAATTGGTCAACTTTGAACACTCTGTTTACTTTAATATATATTTTTAGATAAGAATACCTAAAAGTTATCTGAAGCCCTCTTTGGGCAATGGCCCATTACAAGATTATTATGTATTTGTGTTATGGCTATGTCCATAGGCCTCTGTCAAGACCGAGACTCTTCTGTGTTGGCTCTGTACAAACACAGATAAACTTTTCTTCTAACAGATGGTGACCTTAAGTCAACTTCTCCCAGTTGGCTCTTAAAATTAATCTCTTCTAGTTCCACCCAACTAAGAGCAAAATTTCCCAAAAATATGCAGTGAAGACTCTGGAATCAAACATCCTTTTCGCCACTTCATACATTTTCTTGATGGCATAGCATTGTCAAATGTCATGTTCTTTTTGTTTTTCTTTTGGCAAGGAAGAGAGCAAGAACAAAACATGAAGGAAGGGAAGAGAAAATACAGTGCGTTTTATCTGAAACAGTCTAGCAGGCAGTACTCCTGCACAATACAGCATGCCTTCAACTGTCAGTAAACAGACATTGTATTTTGCTGTCTTTACTAAATCTTGTCCTGCTTGCCTGCGAAGAGGGAAGTCCTACTTTATCTTGCACTACAAGGTTGCTGCTGGATCCTGAAAAATGCAGTCTGAGGTATTTTCAGATAACCGCCTAGTAACTGGGCACAGCTTCCACACTCTTAGGGCTTATTTTCAGTGGAAAACTTACTTTGGAACCTATTGACCAGATACACTTCCTGACCTCTGCTGCATGGGCAGCTCGGCTTCTCGAGAGCCAGCTGCTGCAATAGTTCCGACTACCTTCCTCTGCATTACTGAAACCTGGAGTCAGTGCACACACTTCTCGACAGAACGGACTGCGAACTGCAGTGATTGAACAACTGCTCCACGAAGCACAGGCCATGCCTGTAGTGAAGGGAGGGAGGGCAGACAGCTGGGGAGAGGAACAGCTACAGCTGTCCCAAAGCAAACCGCCGGCAGCCGTGAGTCAGCGCCCGCCGCTTGCCGCTGCCACTTTCCGCCCTTCGGCCGGACACCGGGGACAGAAGGCACCCGAAGGCCCGTCGGTGCCAACACGCTCCCTGGAGTTCACGGTGTCATCAGCAGAGCGCTCACCGGCTTTAGTTTTTGAACTTAGAGGACCGAGCTCTGCAGCCCCTGCTTAGACAGATGATTGCAAGCTGATTTCAAGCGTTGCTGACCTGATCTGGTGTGGCGGGCCTTGGTGGGTAAAGCCGCGCACTGCAGGGGCAAGGCGTGGTTATCAAATGCACGCAGTCTAAAACTGCTTTTTTTAACCACACTGGTCCCAGGCAAGAATACAGTAAGTTTTAAATTATGAGAAGGCAACTAAACCTACCCAGTTTTCTCTTTGGCCCATCACCATGCTGCTCAAACTTTTCTTGCAGTACAAACTATCTAAGCAAATTAAACTTATTTCAGTTTTTAAAAGGTTATAGAAGTATTTTCAAATAAGAAAATTTGTTTTAAAAAGTATCTCACTAAATCTTTTGAATCTATCTTCTTGCAAAGTTTGAAAGGAGTCAATATACCAAAAATAAATATCCTTAGTATCTATCCTTAGTTTCTTCAAAATGATAAAAATGATTAAAATATATATACTTTATTCTAATATTCAAGCATCTAAAGAGTCTGTGTCTCTTCATGGATTTTAAGATCTCTGGAGCAGGAACTATGCATTCCTGTATTCAAAACACCTAGCACATCATGTTACAAGAATAAAACTGGATTAACACAAATCCTTGAATGAAACCGGCTAACTGAATTTCCAGTGTACTTCATGACGGGCAATAATTCCAAACATTCTACCTATACTGTAAAGTCTCCAGGACAAAAGTGGATTTGGTTTCGGTAGAGAAACAGCAAATCTAATTTGGGTTTATTTAGCTGGTATCTACACTCCTGTAAGCTCATGAGCAAGGTAAATGAAGTAATTAAATATAATATTCTTTCTAATGAAACACACATGCTGTATGCTTGTATGTTGTACCCCTCTTTGTGACTGCTGTGTCCCAAGTTGACAGGATTTTTTGCTTGGGTAGTGAAAGAAGTGTTCTGGGACTGCTATGTGAAAAGATTTGCAGAAATCTTTCTTTTCATCCTTACTGCTTATACCAATAAAGAAAATTATTTTGAAGTGACAGAATCTGTATAAAAGTAGATCTTGAACTGCTTGAAACCACTATCATCTAACACATCTACAGCAGGATGGTAAAACTAAAAAACACTGGGACAAGCTGGAAGAACCATAAAAGCAGCAGAAGCCAGACAGATTCCGTGCCAATAATTAGAGATTGCGGTAAATGTCAACTGATGTTAAATACTGTGGTGAGTTTTTAAGTTCCTCCCTTCAGTAGAATCTTATTTAAAAAACAAACTATGGTACAATTGAAGGAAATAACTAATGGTTATGTAAAGAAAAAATTAAATAACAACACTAAAAGCCCAATGTGGACATTTGCCACAGTACTGTACAAAAGAGCAGCAAATTAAGAATTTTATTTTTCTGCAGCTAGTCTCATAAAACTCCTCAGTTAAATGGACCTATTAAAGCAAAAGGACATTCCACAAAACTGCTGTCAGAAATATGACAGATATTATATAAATAATCTACATATACATTTTCTTAATTTTATTTACAAAAGTGGAAGATAAATTTAACTGAAGCTTTTAATTTAACTGATATGAAGGTTCTTAGGCATAATCCTCACTAATCTTAGTTAACTCTCCATGTCTTTTTAGACTGTGGAGTCTAGTCACAGTAAGTTAACACAGGCCAGCACTGCTACAGAAAAATAGGGTCCAGAGACCAGGACGTACAAGAAGAGGCTGGGAGAAGCCCGTTTGTTCAGCCTTAAGAATGCAAGGCTAAGGGGAGACCTAACTGCTGTTTGCAGCAATTGCATGGGTGGGTATAGAGAAGATGGAGCCAGACTCTCCTTGAAGGTGCACAGGGATAAGGCAAGAGACAACAGGCACAAGCTGGAACATGGGAAATTCCAGTATTAGGCCAAGCTTTTTCACCACAAGGGTGATGAAGCAGGTGCCCAGAGGTCATGCAATCTTCATTCTCGGAGATTCAAAGCTTGACTGGACAAAGCCGTGAGCAATCTGACCTAAAACTGACCATGCTTTGCCAGGGTGTTGCACTAGAGACCTCCAGAGGTAATTATTCCCAAATTCTATGATCTACAATCCTCAGCAAATATAAACTGGTGAAATAACAAGAAGTGTTAATTCTTTGGGGAGCAGTCCATCATTTAGGCTGCTTTTTGTGCACCTAGCACAATAACAATTTTGCAAATATTGCCAGGTACTGCTGGAACAGAAATAATAAATAATAATAGGGCAACTGTGCCAGTTTTAAGGCTAACCCATCTAAAACTACATATGAGAAATTGAAATATTTTTAATTTTAAATATTTAAAGACAGTAAGCCAGTTGGCTACAATCATGTCTTGTACCGTAGGACATTTCTTTGAGAATGACTAACAAAAACTCAATCTCATTAATTCTAACACATGTGAACAGTCCCAAAGAAGTAGTGAGACCGATTTGGTGTATAAGCAGTTGCAAGATCAGGCCACAAGCCAAGCTAGTTCCAGTTGTTTCATATTATAAAATTTTTACATACATACAGGCAGAAATACTTATCATGCTAGAATAATTAAAAACTGATTGAAATGAATTGGCTTGAAGCTATTCCCTCCCCTCCCAGAAGTAACATCTTTCATTTTAGACTAAATATGAGAAATTTCATAGTTTCCAGCAACTGATAAAAGGGGGTTTAGAACAAAGTTGGAATTAAAATACACTGTGAATTGCTGGCAACTTCTACGTAATGGAGCAATAGTAGCTTTCCATTACTTAGAAAAGGCAAATTCAAGAGATGTTCTAAAATATTCTAATTCTAAAGGACCTGGTTTTGATTACTAGAGACATAAATTATTTTATCTTAAGAAAGACTACCTCCAGTATTAATCTCTCTATATTAATAAGCAGTATCTTAAATGTCCTAACCAAGAGTCTGGATATAGTTTTATAAACTTGATACTCTCTGAATCTTGTAAAAGTCAATACTGTCTCTTGATTTTGGACATACTAACAAGAATTTCCATTATTAATATTTCTTCCAAAAATGAGCTAGCCTCTAGTAATAGACAACAACACTTAAAAGCAAATAGTATCTTAAATAGGATAGTGTCTATTTTTTCCATATTATTTTTACGCATCTTGCACTTTTATTTAACAAAATTAGCAATTAACTTAGATCTAGTTGTACTGCTTTCCACCACTGAAGCCCCAAAGTATTCTGTTAGCATTTAATTAAATCTTTGATAGGCCCTTTTTGCTAAGCCCTTCTTATTTTGATCAGTCTTGTACCCATTTTACATTAGGGAGAAAGCAGCTCCCAGTTCTGCATTCAAAATAGCTTGACAAACTAAACCATTTGCTGTAACCGTTTAGGAGTTTTCCTTCTCCTGAAGGGTTCCTCAGTATTCTTTGAATGGAGAAGCAGTCGTTCTTCAAAACGTTTAAGCCCAAATTGAAATCGCTGATGTGCAATATATTTTGGTTCCTCACCTGCAGGGCTGTGTAACTGCATGCACACACTAAATTAGAAAAACAACACATGAACTGTATTGACATTGTGGTTGTGCCTAGAGCCATACTGCAGCAAGGACTCACACCAATACGTGGGAAAAAAATGGTAAGTGTTCCAAAGGGCTCATATTGTGTAGGGTTGTCTCTTTTTCAGCATTTATAGATGCCTGAAAAGAACAACCATTGGTTTTCACGAAGATGACATTAGATACATTTATTTTTCATTAGAAGAATTAAGGGAATGGAGAACTAGCACATTCCTGCACAAACCTCAGGGATTAGGCTGTGCTGCATCTGGGAATTAACAAACTAGTCTCAACAAGTTTGATCTTCTGGGAAAAGATAAAACTGAACTACAGGCTAAGCAAAGAAAGAACTGATAACCTTGCAAGATTTGTTCTGAGTTTTTTGTTCATGAACCACATAAAAAGAAAGTAATGTCAGACATAAAAAAAAATTATTATTGCAACAAGCAAGAGTGAAAAGAACAGCTTGTGAAGAGCCTTCTAGACAAACTAATGGTAGATAATTCACTGATAGTATAATTTTGTTTGCTTCTCTCTAGCACATAAATCCATAAGAACAAGCTGTGCTGTTATGCCAGATACTGCATGTGATTTCATTAAATCCTAAAGCTTTTAATGAAGGATGGAATCTAAAGTGTGATGTTGTATTTGATGCTTGCATGTTTGGGACCCGACATCTCATGGCTGTCTGAAATTACAGCTGACACTTTTAAGCTTTTATTCTGTGACAAAGGCATCACAGATCAAAACTGCTGACCTTCAGGCAGTAAATAACAGAAACTTCTGACTCAGTAATAATTCAGCTAACCACAAGGACTACCTCCTTTTTCTCATCTTTAACAATACAAACACTCCACATAGTGTATGAGATGTCTCAAGCTAAATGGCTAGCATTCTGTTCCACAGCTAATATAATCTTCTGTTACAAACGTATCATACACATAATATCCACAAACCACAGGACTTTATCATTTAAAGGTATTTCAGGGTGAGCAAGAAAGATAAAGACATTTTGGTAAAGTTGTGTGTAAATTTAAATGACTAAGAAAGCCAAACCAAGCAATAAAAAAAATCAGCGTAAATTTAATCTTATCATACAGGTCAGTGTTAAAAAGAATGTTTTAGAAGTGGTTGAACTGAATAGGATTCATCTTTAAACTCAAGATGATTTATTAACTATTTAAAAGACTTAGTACAGATTAAGCAGAAATACTCTCTTTTTTTTCTGGTAGTACCTAAAAATCCCCAATAAAAAATAGAAGATCCACAAAAGGGGTAAAGCTGGAACATAAATAGGATCTTGGCTAGAAGGAGGGTATTTGAGATTTAGACACACCAAGTAGGAGGGACAATGGAGCTGGAACAGAACATCTCAGGAAGGCACTTGTAAGCAACACATTCAATAAATTTGGTCATAGAGAATAATAATTTAAAAAATCTATAAAATAAGAATGGCCATAGTGGCTCAAAGCAAAGTTCCATCTTATCCAATTGCTCTTTTCTGACTGTGACTGCTAGTAGATACTGAGGGAAATTAAAAAAAAAAGATCTTTTCCCAGTAAATGTTCTGGATCATCAAAGTCTTTAGGTACTTATTTAAGAAGATGAAGGAAATACAGGTGTAGTTGGTTGAATGGATGAAGTTTCAAAAATAAGAATTATCTTTAAGATTTGTAGGATTAACTTATTGCTTTTAAGCACCATACAGAGATGTGACTGGTAACCTTTATTTGGGTATGTAAACATTTATTTCTATATCTCAAGTGCATAAATTATAGAGATCTGAAATTAAAGAAAGTCATGAAAGAAAACAGAAAACAGATGGCATATGAATATATAACAATTACTAAAAAAACAACTTTCAAACTTGTGACATAAGAAAAACAAATGCTTCAATTTTCCTCTTTTCTCAGCAAAAAGAAAGGAACAGTGGCCATAGTTTATCCCTGAAAATCCCTGAAAATCAATTCAGTAACAAATTAGACACACAGAGAGGAGGAAATAAAACATAATTGATTATTACAGTTGTGCTACTGTAATTGATTTCATTGTAAAGTATGAAAAGGTTATTATTAAAAGCAAAGGTGTTTATGTGCCATTCTTGTTCTCAGAATATGCCGTAGGAGTCCCACACTTGGATGTGTGCTCCCATGATATGGCCGGCAGGAAATTCCACAGGTCTACCATTTCCATTAACTCAGAAGAGCTAAGCCTCCTCAACAGCAGAGAGTATTTCTGTGTCTGACTGTGCATGCGGTGATCCCAGCTATCTTCCAATGGTAATTACTTTTTAATATAAAGTAGTAGAAAAGAATGCAAACTGTAGCCCTAGCTCTGCAGGAAAGGTAGATGGACGAGCAGGGATCTATTGTAATTATACACCTGTATTTCTTGTTCTCCAAATAGAAGTAATTTTCTTTCCTCCATGTGATGGTAACAATAATACACCCTGGCTCCAGCAAGCTAAACTTCTCACAGAACGTCTCTTTCAAGACTGTCCTCTAGTAATAATGTGCAACAAAGGGAAAACTTTAACATGTGTGTTGCAAAGAGCAATGAGAGAAAAGTGAGGAACAGACAAGTAATGAAAAACTAAGTTTTCTTTCTAACATATGGGGGATAAGTTTTCACAGGGGAAAAAAAAAAGTAACTAGTGACATTATGAAAAAAGCAAACAAACAGTGACATTTACTAAATTGGTGGGAGAGTATGGGTGTTCGCAGCCCAAAATGTGCGCCATTGCACCATTCAGCCAATCCAGGGGCACAGTCCAGGCATAAGAGCTTTCTGAAAGCATGAAGAAAACACCATATGGGTGTCCTGCAAGTCCCCTGAACGAGAATAAATACTTTGCCTCAGCATTCTCTTCAGCACATATAATTGAGTTCTGATAGCTATTGAACAGTGTCTGAGCCATAAATGATATCACTGCCAGTTACACTGGAAACTTTACCTTCCAGAGACCTGGGGAGCCACGGCATCTTCCATCTTGCTATTTTGCTAATTCCTGATTGCTCTGGAGTATCTGAATTTGGCAGACACATACTGAAACATTCCAGAATAAAATTCAGGTGTCCATTTGAGTTACTTAGACCGACCCTAAATGTTAGAAGACTCGTGAACCGAGAACTTCTGATATGGTTTGTGATGGGTTTTAACAGAAACTTCAAAAGACAGTAATTGAATCTTGAAGAACTTACTCTGACAGACACTGTCATCAGACAAAAAATCCTATAGGTAAGCAGGGCCATGCTTTTCTCTTAGCTCTTCCACCTCCTCTCCACCCAAAGGTATCATATTCATTGCAGAAACCATGTTTGTTGGAGATAACTTTAACTATGACCAAGGCACAGCTTCTGTCCACTAGGTTGCTTCTCCCATATTCCTGTTCATATGAGGAGAGGGTGAGGGGAAGGAACACAGCATGCATAATGCTAATAAATAGGAAATTTAAACGAAGGTCTTATGAGCTGAGCTTAATTTTTCTCTTGTGACAAAAAAAAAATTCTTTTGGGAGAAATAACACACTTGAATTAGAAAAGAGAGGGAAAGGAGGGAAAGAAAACAAGGGAAAATACACAGTTCAAGGGCCAGAGCAACATTCACTGAAAACAGATCTGACAGGAAGAAGCATATGAAAATAGTATTTACAATCAAGTGCAGCATGTGTGCATCACCTCCTGGCAGGCAAGTTTAAAACTGTCAGAACAACTCTGGCTAGCGCATTCCTGCTAATCATATCAAGGGAGCACAGAACAAAGACAAGGATCTATTTTAACATTTACCATTCAGTGATAACATTTTAGAAGTGTCCTGGTATGGATTTGTTCTACGTATCTACTTGTGAGGAAGGCTGGATACAACTTTCCTGCTGCAAACAATTAATTTAATTTTGAGTGCAATCTAAAGGTATTCTAGAATCCTCCTCTTTGCTCACTAGGTCAGGGATCAAACTTGTCACCTCCAAAAGTCCTATATAAGAGTTGCATGCCTCAGTTTTCCTACTCCCTGTATTACACTTCTGAGAACAGAATCCCTCTGCTTAAGACTACTTCTTTAAAATGACATATGACAATTACCTCAGTTTCATTGCAGCAGAAGATGTCAGAATGGGTATAAAATTGTGGATCTAGGTCAGCAAGGGCTGGAGCTGGATTAAATAAAGTCTTTACTGAAAAAAAAAAAGAAAAAGTCTAAATCTCTAGTGTTTTAGATTCATAAACCATCACCTGAAAAACCATTGTGGTTAATTCACAGCCCTCAATGTTTATTATTAACACACAAATGGCTCTCAGTTTCTGTGTCCTTGTTTTATAGAACTGCTAAAAGTTTTGTTTATTATATTAAAGTCCCCTTCTAATTCATGTGCAGGCACCTGTCATGATGGGAACAAGACAGAGGGGTAACAAAAAAATAACCAAGAAACTATTAAATAAAAAAAGGGTGAAAAAAGCCTTAGACAGTAATGCAATTTGTTTAACTGATGGTGCTTCTTCAAGGATTTAATAAGTTTTATAAGAACTGATTTAGTTTATAATTTTTTCAGTGTTGTTATCTGCGTTCTGTACATGAAGAAACAGGGGTATGGAGTAATGAAGGGCACGTCCAGACAAGGAGTTCAATGTGCTTCTGAATGTGTTACCTAACTTGTTCAAACTGCCACATTATAAAACTGTAGCGCAGACAAGGCACTGCATATTTTTAATATGCTGTCTGGCAGAGCTAGACCTAAACTGAACACGTGGTAGAATATGTTAGTTAACCTAACTTTAAACTGTAGCCTAAGGCCCCATGTACCAGCAGAAAAGGTTTGTCATGAGGACAGTATAAGTGACTTACTCACTGTTAACACAGGAAGTCTGCAGAGTTGGTTTCTCACTTTGCCAAATTTATGATTAATACTTCTGTGTCTTAACCACAAGGCCATCGCTTTTATATAAAGCATACTTTCTTTCTTTAGAAATATTCCTTATAGTAAGTGATCAAATCTTCCAATTTGGATGCCTAAATTTTCACTCCTAAACGCATATTTAGACCCTAAGCTACAGCACATTATGTTAAGACACCCTGAGCACTTCAGAATCCCAGTTAATGTCCTAAAAGAGAAAGACACACAGAGACTTCTGAAATCTACGTACCAAGAAGTTTAGAAAATGACCTTTTTGATTTAGCCTTTGACTGTACAACTTTTCTCATGCCTCTTTACCTGCCTTGTCAAAAAGAGTATTAAAGCGACAAAGACATTTATTCAGAAGCCAGAAAACGCCAGGATTAGGATTTCAAATGAAATCTTAATTTGGCTCCCTTATATTATTACAATACAGTATGTATTATAATAAACTCTTTAATTATATGATCACATACCACTGAAAAACAGCATGTGATCACATAATTAAAGACTGCAACATAATACATATGCAGAAAGGAGACAAATTAAGGTTTCACAGACAACCTTAACTCTTGCATTTCCTATTTTCTGAATTTCAACCCTAATACAGGTTTTTCAAATGCAAATCTTTAAGGTATACTTTCCTAGGTAAAACAAACAAACAGCACATAGTGGAAAACAAACTCTGTCATTTGATATCATGCTGACATACATGGGTCAAGCAGCACTGGAAGTGTTCCAACTTGGGTTTTAAGTAATACAGACTCATCATGAACATGGTATAACACAGTACTATTAGTTTGTGCCTATATTTAATAGCTGCTGAGTAGTGGGGAGATAGAGGAACCCTAAGATTCTCTTTCAGACTGTGAAGAAGAGCATGGCTTGTGAACAGGGTGATCTACTTGGTCCTCCTGAGGAACAGCAAATTATTTTCTACCCAAATTCTTTCTCTCTCAAGATCTGTTCTCCTCATTCAGTTTCCATTCTTTACACCTCCTTGCATAGGTACTATGCAATAGCAACCTTTTTCACTCAACTTTCACCACATCGTATCTCTTTACACCCCCTCTCCTATGCTTTCTTTTACGCATTTCCAGTACCCACAGCCTACTCCCTGACTCTACCTCCATATTCCATCTCTATTCAACAAATCCTATTCTCTGTTTCAATTTTGTTTCCCTGCCAGTTTCCCTCTTCCTTCTTCCTCTGCCACCCCCAAAATCAAGCAAATCCCTCCTACACTTCCCTTATCTGAAATCTACTCTCCCTCCTCACCATTCCCATCCAGCTTTGTCTCTTCTGTATTCAAATCAAGCAAGCTCCTGCTCTGCACTCCATGGCCCTATAAGAGATCTCAAAAAGTACAAAATAAGTTGCACAAAACCAGATTCAGGAATTACACCGAAAGTCATGCTGCCCAAATGGACAACTGCCTGTGCAGACAGAGTCTCACAGAAATCTAGCTGTGAAGCTCTAAGAATTTTCTTAAGTCTATGTGAAAGGTACTTACCTTCCAAAGGCCGATAATACAGTAAAAATCAGGTAGATTTCCACACTGTTGTAAACAGTTATCTTTAAAACAAAGCTCCCTTGCTATCAAGTCTTAAGTAAATTTTAAGGTAGTCAGTATTCATAATTTAAAAGGAGATAGGGTGTGAGGCATTTTTCCATGGCCTGGTGTCTGCAGCCACTACACTTTGGCAGAAATTACAAAGACTTTAACCATGGACAAACAACTGATATGAAAAATTGCAGCCCAACACTATAAAGTTGAAGCACCTGAAAAATAGATTCTTTATCTGCAGGTGACATGGAATCTTCATAACTGTGTCTGTTCCCAGCCCTGGTTATGATATGTTTACATTCTGCACTACAGTATTTATAGTCTGGACATTATCAGCCATCTTTTACGGAGTCTGTCACTACAGAAGCCCAAAAACTGCTTTACAGACTTCGATACACAATAACTTTTTGCCTATCAATGAAGTGGCCCCCCTTTTGGAAACAGCAGCAGCTTCACAACACATGGCCATTAAAAACCTAGAACTTTCCAGGCAGATTTCCACTACAATTCATACCCACTTTAATAATTAGTGCCACAATGAGAGGATGTCAGAACATGAGATGTCCCTCTCTAGCTTGCACATCCAGGTGATGTTCACTGCACAGAAGCAATGGGTTCTTGCTTGTGTGTCCACATGCTTTCTCCATCTTATTGTTTATTTCTTTCAGTAAGAATGAAGTAAAACAAGCAAAAAAAAAAACAACCCTTGAAACAGAGGTTTGAGACATCTGGGTATGCATCTGTTTTAAACAAAAATAGTCTAGTGCACATCCTAACACGCAGTACTGCATTATACATGAGGGTATTGCAGGCTAAAAGAAGGGAAATTGCATTAACAATTTACAGTTGGCTAAGGATAGATTTTTACAGCGCTACAAACTCAGCTGTTTACTTAGATTTGACTGCACATGACATTTGAACATGTGTAGCCTATTGCTTTAAAGCAGAAGCAACCAAAGCTTTCCTGATGTGAGTGCTGCACAATGATAGCAGACTGACAGCGCAGAACTATAGCTGGCCCACAGCTAACTGCTATCTTTTCTCGATATATTGTGCTGTCTACAGTTGCTAAATGCTTGCATGTCTGTTCCATGTATCAGGTTTGGAGTTTTTTTAACTGCCTTTAAAAAAATCCTATCTTTTCTTCTGTCACAGGCTGGCATCCTGCTTTAAGGGGGTGACAAAAGTGTGAAGCAACTTTACCAAAATTATGCACAAGAGTTAGAAGTAGACAAAATAAGTCACGGATATTGACTCGTGACTCAACTATCATCTATTAACCACTAGATTAAGAATGCTTTTATCCACTTCCATATGACAGAATGAAAAAATATAGTAAGCTCTGTTTCTCCCCCCTGCACAGACATTTTAAGCATCCCAGGTGCTACTCAGTTAACTGAAGTTTTTAGTTTTTATTTAGATACGCATGAGCCCAGTTTTGACATCTCAAACAGAAGTCAAAATAATTTTTCCCCATGCACGGTTCTGTTTATAAAGGTTATGACTATTACCACCACAGTTACAGAGTCACTCTCTCACAGCCTCGGATCTAACATAGCTGCTTAAATCAGCACGAAAACATGAACATGATGCACAAAGTTCTGCTACATCTGATGTCTGCACTAGTGTGTGAACACTAGTGATCACAACAGGTGCACAACAGACCTCGGTACAAAAAGAGGACTGAAGAGTCAACAGTCCTGATGTGCTATGATCTACTGGAGCAAGCCTGGGCCCAGCTGCAAGGAACCAGTTAGTTTTGATCCCAGTTCCATCCCTGACCTGCTGCATGACTGACCATACTACGAGCTGTCCCCTCCTAGTCTTATCTTCCGGGCAGACGACAACATCTTTTTAATCTCATATAGATGAGTCACATGCATAATTATTTACTTAGTGTTCAAATACTGTGGTAGTTGTACTTGAGTAACTGAAAGAATTACGACAGGCACTTAAACAACAGAAACACCGTGTCAGTAGCGAAACCCCATCCTGTTCAAGCAAAATGTCAGCTTTTATCTACGTACATGCTACACTGAAGGAACAATGGCCTACATTTAAAATTACAGCATAGTGACAATTTACTAATAACTCCACAGACCATGACTCTGTGTATTCAATGACAGCATGCCACATCACACTCTAAGAATTTTGTTTAAGAAGAAAAAGTATTTTTTTACTTTAAGGATGTTAATTTCTCTATAGAAAACCATAGCCATACCTACTGCTATGCTGGGAGAACAACGGCATAAGCCTGGTTTTGAGGTAATTTCACTCACTTTATTATGTGTGGGACTTTACTGACTTGCCTTCATCATGCTTGTTCTGCTCTGGAATAATACCAGAATCAGGCCCATAGTTTCTGACCTAACAACATTACACGGTATTTAGTCCCAGCATGAAAATAGGAGCAAAGGCACCACCAGACATAGACAGGGAAAATTATAAGGGTAGGTGCTGATTTGCCTTTCAAGGTAAACACTGCAACATTTTAAAACTGAATTCATTTTTCCTTAGCGTAGCATAAATTTGTTGGCTATTGTTTAATTTCTAAATAAAACTAGTATGACAGAAACCAGAAGAGACCACAGGATCTTTCTTTAGAAAGCAAGATAAAGAATATTTTTCATGCAACACAAACAAGGGAGACAGAATAGCTTATGTTAAATTACCTCCGCTGGCACGTGCCATTTTCAGAGCTTCAAGAGAAACAGCAGGGGTTATTTCTAGCTGGCAAAGAACCACTTTGGCTTTACAGATGACATCAGAAGCCCTCTTCAGGTCTTCAGAATTTAAAAGCAGGTTGGCTCCTGGGACTATGACAATAACATTCTGTCCTAAAGAGAAGATACTGTGTTTTTTACATTAACTTTTGCAATAAAGTACATAAAACAGTTCCTTGCTTTTCTGCAGTACATTTCAGTATAGGATTTCAATTTCCTTTCCAAAAAACCCAGACTAAAAACCTATGCATTGCTGGCATTTTCAAATATCCGAGGATTTCAGAAGACAAGCAAGAAGACTGACAGACTAATCAATGCTACACTGTACAACAAATGCAGTATATGTTTCTTTGGGAATAGTCGTATACAGGCTTTCCCCAGTCTTCTTTTTGTGTTTTCTCTGAACTCTAAAGCAGGACTGTATTAGTCACAGGGGAGACAGGGGACATACACTAAGGCTGATTTTCCTAAAATATTCCAGTAGCACTTGAAGAGAAAAGCATCAATGTAATTACTGAGTTCATATGCCAAAATGCCACAAAAATTTTAATTTTCCCATCAGCTGGAAACAGAATATTTCACACAGCTATGAAAATTTTGCATGTTCTCTAGACTTCAGAGAAACAGACTTATTCCATTTACCTGTGACACTTCAAGTTAGGGCCCCTAACCATCATGAAAACCAGAATCAGCTTGCCACCAAAATGCAGAAAGGTAATGCCTGTGTCTAAGGAAAGCCTTATCAGAAGTGAGTAAAGAAGGTGGGTGACAGGTTGTTCTGCACTTCAAGCTGGTCAGTAGAATGGTCTAAGCAAAGCTATACGTGTGGAAGCATGGCTGTATCTCAAAGCACGTCTAAGGTCCTTTTCATTCTTGTAGTTTGTTTTACAGTTCAGTGAGGAGGTTCAGTTATGTAGGTTCCAAATATTCTTTTGTTTTTCTCCAGACATGCAAGTTGCTTTCTTTTATTGCAGTTTCTTTCTTCCATTCTTTTTTTAATCTCTGTTGCAACACCTAGAGACCTTCAGGCATGGGTGCCTTCAAATTAAAATTTATTATTAATCGCTCAGGTATTAAATTCAATAAGTCAGTTGTTCCTTGATTTACAGGCTCAGTCCGCCCCCGCTGAAGATTCCTTTAAGGACTGCCAATCATTAAAGGCTACCAATTCTGTAATGAACTGAATTACTCTGTAAATAAATATTTATGTTTTTAAATACATTCTTTTTGTTGAATACGACTTCAAAGTCCTTTGAATAAGAAACGTGCAAAGCTTGTCTCCCTAAATATGTTCTGAAAAGCAAGCAGGACAATGGAAAGAATAATATAGTGATCTCAGAGGGAGGGGCCCAAGCTTTCCAAAGCAATTCTGCTGTCAATGGTTTGCTTCAGAACAGCTGCATACAAAAAGCAAAACCTCAGCATTTAAAGCCAACGCCCTGCTTTTCAACAGACAATGATGGGCATCTCGGAATAAAAAAACAAAAAAGAAAAAACATTCTGCAACAAGTAAATGCTATCAAAGATATCCAAATCCTGTTGAGGAAACATTCAAAGGCAAACTGCAGCTATTTTGCCAAGCACGTATTTTGAAAGCTTATATGGTGCAGTAGTGCAAACAGTAAAAGGCAGGGAATCAGTGGAACAAAAATTTATGTCATTTCTGCCTGGACTCCGTGCTACCTAGAATCTCAGACTCTATCCAGATGTCTTGCTGCATTATCTTGCTGAACTATTTAGCTGTACTGACATGTATATTATTATTAGACTTTAGAGCTAATGGCCCAAGGCGATAAGGAAGGCTGTTTGCTTACACCCATATGTGCAAATTCAAGGTAGACCATGCTGCTCGGGATCACAGTCAGAAGCTTTTCCTTGCAACTACGAAAGGTCAGAGACTTAAAGTCTGCTTTCAAACCTGCTAGGGAAATGCAGTACCTACTGTGGTGTATCAGTCCAGGCGGGCTTAACCCAGGCTTTGGAGAAGCTGTTCTTAGCTACATATACCACACTAACTGTGAATGACAGCAGTCACGACAAATTTACACCACCATGCATGAAAGCAGAATCTGGACCCATGCACTCACAATTAATACCAGAATTTTGTATTACCAGCAACCATTTTGTTGAAAGCAATTATTTCTTGCCAGGGAAATCAGATGGGAAATCAGCACCAGGGACAACAGAGTTAAAGACAGATGGCAAAGAGGGGTGGGATTCATCTTGTCCAACATTAACTAATTTTTAAAGTTTTCAAAAAAATCCTACATTCTAGAAAACGCAAAGAAAACTAATTTCTAAAAATTCGTTTTTAGGTTCCTTCAACAAGGAGAGTCAAGTATTTTCAGAGTTTTTTTAATCTTACATATTTCAGATATCCATTTGAGGAGGAGACAAACTGTTGTCTGGAAATGCCTATGCATCTGTGTTAATTCTAGGTGAAGCCTTAAGCCGTACACCTAACTTTGAAACAGCTCAAGTGAAGTAAAGTGTTATCCACATGAAGAATGAGAAAAATGTACTTACTGTATTAAAGTTAATTCTAACATCTTTACTGGGACTAAAAATTCTCAGTTTTGATGGGTGCATCTGTACAGTTTTCAGTTTTGCAGACATCAGCTAAAATATTAGGGGCTACATTCACAGTTGCTATACGCTAGAACAGCTAAATGAAGCTGATAAGCTTGTGCGAGCTTACACCAGATGGGGACTGGGTCCAATCCATACTTAAAACAGTGTGAATGCTGCATATGTAAATACTGTCCTCAGCTGGGCTTCTAAACCTGCTACTGTCACTTCTTAGAGAGATGGGTAACTCGAGCTAGATTTTTTTTACAAATGTCATTTTATAGATGCCACCAGATCAGAAGTGCCAGTGGAAAAATCAAAGACAAACCAGTAAACACCACAGTGCAATAACCATCACTTTTTAAAATGGGATGACGAGCCTAAAAGCTATCAGCGGTGCTCAGAACTCACCAAAATCTCAAACAATGCAATTATAACAATAGCTGCAGAGCTTCTGCATAATTCATAGGGAAGAAAAGATTATATCTGTGACCAGAAAAGAATGTTACAAGAAAAACAGCTGCTGCCAAATAACACAGTTCATGAATATGAGGGCAAGTTTTGGGTGTGTCATGGTATCGTAATTTCTATGCAATTACTTGGTAGAAGCATTGAACAGTTTTGTACACAAAACACTCAAGTTCATGATGAATGTCAATACATAGAAATTCTATAAAAATTCAGGTGACATTTCTTCACAACCCTGGAGGTTCAAAACAAAGATTTTCTCTTTGGAAAGTATAATTCAAACAAGCTGGCATATGTATTCTAAGTTTGCCTTGTTTATTTAGCCTTATCTAAATATATATTTTGAATGTTTTTATACTAGTAGTGCTTTGGTATTGAAGGTACACTCACTTACAAAATAATGCCTATTCACTGTTCGTGAATGATTAATAACTTTATCGCAAAGTCAGCACAATGCCTCTGTCAAGTAAGGGTTATCTCACAGTCTTCTGTATAGGTGAGCTTTAAGTCCTAACTTGCAATAATCAAGAGCTCTTTAATCATGACCTGCCAATCTCTGTTGTCCCTCCACTGAATTTTTGCTATGAACACGGAAGTTATCAGACTGGTTCAAAATATTGGTCCAGTTGGGCTAGGTTAGTGGCACCGTCAACAGTCAGTACTAGATATGGACAAAGCTGCAATAAACTTCACAGGTAACCATGTAAAAAATTATCCATAAAGCGTTTTTTTTCCTCCCTATGTGTGTATGTAGAAGTACAATGCACATCATCACTCCATGGAGTTCTTCCCGTTCAATAGCGCAATGTTAGCAGAAGGTGTGCTAAGCGACAGAGCTAGTGGAAGGCAGGCAGGCTGAAAGGGGAAACAAAAACTGGGGTTCAAAGTGGTGCCATGCACCTCAAACAAAATGTGTTAAGAAAACCAGCTGGATGTACCAGCTTTTCTCTTTAAGAGAGAAAGTACAGATTTGAAGTGTACAGGGTCCTGGTAAACTGAAGCTTGTGTTTAGTCAAAACCTATCTGAAGAGGCAGTTGCATAAAAGAGAACCACTGAAAGGAACACGAGAGTCCAGAAAAAGATTTCTGCACAGATTTCTGAATCCAGCCCAGAGGGGACCTTTGCAGCGTCTCTGGGCTGCATGTTTTCCAGTGCCGCACTATAAACGTAAACATTTCTCCACAATTTTGCATTAAAGCAGGGATTTAACCTCCCTGTCTTTTATTGAAACTACACTGTATTGTCCCAGAATATAATGCAACTTAGAGAATATCAAATGTGCCTGCCAATTTTAAAATTTTTAGTACTTTACCAGTTACAATAATGGATGAGTTATAGCTGTGCAGTTCAGTAACCAGTAAAAATCTTCCCAGAAATTCAGCAGCACCAGCTAGACAGACACAGGTAACACCAGGGGAAGTTTACTTCAGAACCTCTTCTGACTCTGCTCTCTACAGCTTTCTTTTCCTCTGCCTTCACTCATCCATCACAGTCTGCGCCCTCTACTTGAGTATCCCTCCTACTGTCTCTTCTGCCTATGATTTTACTCAGTTGATTGGAGTTGGTATTTTTCCCAAATATTGGTACTTGTAAAGAATTTGTAAGATGAAGTGCAGGGTAGGTGTGTGAAAATACAGCAACTAAAACTTGGCAATTTAAAAAGATGATACCTATGTTTTTTTTATTTGTGCCTCTTTGTCTTGACACAACACACCATCACCATCCCCAACTGCAAATGCTTTCCTTTTAGGTACAGTTGGAACCAGCAGAAACTGCTTTACATCAGTGCATTGAATGCTGCGGTGTTTCAGCTATGCCAGCACAACTACTGTGGTAGAACATGCATGTGTAGACAAGCCCTTTGAAAAGTGCTGTAAAACCTGTTCAGGTCAAATCTGCCAGGTTTCTACACGAAAAAAAACCCCGTGTCTCCTGCAAGAGCAAAGCACATAAGTACTGCTATTTTATTGCAATTTACTCAATTCAGGCGCCAGATGGTTTTAGAAAGAAGTAACAACCAGAACCATTACCAATTCTGTACATCTGTTTGCATAGTTCTGACCAGGTTTGCTCTTCTACTAGATTTGAAATGAAATCTGAGGCCAGCGGTAACTTAATTTAGGATTTTTTAGTTTCTGAAAGAAATTAACTGCATGATATTATTCATTATTCATCTCACTACGTGAATCACAAGACTACAGCGACCCTTCACACTGACACTAACATGTAACATAGCCTACTGTGAACCTCATGGCACCGAACAATCAGCTTTGCTTTCCTGATGCTTATAAAGGTTTTAGATCCACAAGACGGTTTTGTTCCTCATCCTTCAAAACAATTCACAGTATTGTAATGTTAACAGGTTACCCTCTGTTCATTCAAGTTTAGACCACGTTTAGCTTAGTTGACCATGCATATGAATTGGGAAGTAATAAGACTGTTTATTATTCCTCTGTTCTGCACACAAACCTAGCGCAAAACATGGTTACTTGTACCAAACAGTGAGGCCTGGGAGCAGACTGCAGGAGTCTCACTGTCTCTCCCATTTACAATGGCCAGAGTAGTGACTGTATGTGGCATAAGAAAGAAGTTCTTAAGAGCTGCTGTGGTAATTTACCTGCTGACCCAAACCAAGAGAAGGAGGTGGAAGTAAGAGGCAGGTATCTAGTTAATTTGATGTATTAGAGCTACCTTCTTTCTGAATTAGAGCTGTCATGCACGGTTTTGATTAATCTTACTTAGGGAAAATTAAACTCACATGTCCAACTAATTTGCCTAATTTTCCTAAATGTTCCTGTGTAGACTTGCCTTTAGTCACAGTTCCTTCCCAGGTTTGCTCCTGCAGTGAACAGTCGTGTTTCCTTTCCCATTTTCAGCTGTAGCCCAGTGTACTGCCATCAGGTTACACAGGAGCTTGTTAAGCTGATGTGTCAGCTAAGCTGTGGTAATTGTTCAAATGAAGGCTCTTAGCTGCACCAAAACTGAACTAATCCAATCATACTTAACTTGTTATGTATGCATAAACATTGCTGGTCCTGAGCTCTAAATTTTGATCCAGACACATGTACTTCTCCTAAGACCTCTCAATAGCACAACTTGCTGGAAGAAAAGATAAACACAAAGTTTTCAGAGAATAATTTAAGTCTTGAAAAAGAATATGAAAACTAGCCAAACCTTCCTTTCTTCTTCCCCTGCAATAGGAAAGCAAAAGCACAAGCTAAGGAAAACTAACACAGAAAAAACAAACATGCCATTTCACTGTGTATTCATCGATGCAGATGCAACTTGGGATCAAGAATTGTGGTAATATTACAAGATCAACATAAATATTTCTGCTAAAGACAATTCCTTTTCCTGATTCAGGGCATAATGACTCACTTGGTGTGCTGAGGAGGCAAACCCTCTCCTCACAGTAAAAGTGCTAGGTAAATTGTCGTAGAAAAGGAGAGCTTTAACCTTCTGCTACACTGTGTGTTCTGGACAATGTAACACTAGATAGATCATGTGGCTGATTGAATTCTGGCTATCGCACTGCTAATCCAAGTGTCTGATTCTGCTACTTTTAGGCACCTCATCTTACAACATTGCCTGTAATAAAAGGAAGTGCAACAAAGTGTGAATAAGATCATGAAAAATAAATGGAAGATGCAGAAAAAATAATTCCACAATTAACAGCGACAAGGCAAAGGTTTCTTTTGCGGCTACAGAGGCAGAACAAAGAGGACAATTCAGACTAGAAATATGTACCTTCACTGTTGACAATTATTGAAGCAGTTCCAGTAGCGGCATCTGTAGTCTGACCTACAAATGCTAAGAAAGGGAAAAGTTACAGCATGCATTAGTTCAATACATTACTTTCAACCAATAGCATGTGATGCAGTTTAATTGAATTAAATCTAAAATGAACCCATAACCTCCAGCAATTTAAAAATGCTAATTACTCTTTCATGTGCAACAATGCCAGAGAAGCTAACAACAACAAAAAGTGTTAATTTACACCCACAAAACAGAAATGCGAGTCCAACATTCTTTAATTTGGCTACATCTCTGCTTTAGAGAAAGCATGTTATTTATACAGTCTTCTCAGGCACTCTACTCCTACATGAAAGTATTTCTTTTATCCAATGAAACAATAGAGTCAAGGCTGGAGAAAACTAAAATATTAAAACAACACAGCATTTAATTCTCTATAGATTTGCATTTCAGCAGTAATATTAACGTGCTATGAAGGCAGCGGTAAGGCTGTATGTTTCCTCTTTGGATTATTATTTAGACAAATTAACTAGAAGTCAGGCTGGCAGCACTGTCTATTATAAAGATTTTTCCATATTTACTACTACAAGAACCTGTTTTCAGCTGTCAGCAAATTTGTGAAATATTATCCAGTGCTCAGAAACTTTCTGTGACAGGTGGAGTTTTTAGGTAGAACTGTAGCAGAAAACTGTCAAAAAGTTGAGGGTTTTTTTCCCCCCCAAGAACTGTATTTGAGAAAAATCTACTATTTTATTTGAGACAAATTCTGGTGACCTTTTGTTGAAGAAGCTCTGATGTTCTAACATTTTAGAACATGGACTTGATGCTGGGCAAAGGCTGGCTTTGATCTCAAGAGTTGCCTTTTGTGGCCGATTTTCAAATCTACTTGAATTTGAACAAGGCTGAAAAAACCATAACATCATGCTCATTCAGCTGGAGGTACCCTTATTTAGCTCAGAGTTACAAGGGTCAGTGCAGAACTTTTCTTGCAATCATAAGCTTCTTTTCACCATAAGCTAGGTCTGCACACTGGAACTGAAAGCAGAGAACTTGTGTCTTCTGTGTTCTCAGTGCTCTTCCTGCAGAGAATAAGTAGCATGAGTAGCAAAGTGCCCAGTTCAAATGTGGGAGAGGCAGTTAACACATCACTAAAGGTTTAAATGGTCTGAGCAGCACTGGTAGCTGATGGGGTTTTCTTCCCACACTTTTCTTTTGCTACTATAAAGACTATTTAAAAATTTATGTTAAGATTGCAAGATCGATCATTTAAATCAGAAAATGTGAGATTTAAGGTTTCTTGTGGAATACACATTAAGTGCTATGCATTATAATAGCTTTATTTACATGATCAAAAACTTTATTCATGAGGTAGGCATGCTTTGGAAAGATTTAGAACTGTGTACTAACAGACACTGTTTTTATGGTATCCTTGCCTGGTTTCTTGCTTAAGTCGGAAGCTATGCAATGAATAAACCTGTATATACATTTGTGAAACATTTAGATGCCATACTGAAAAGCCCACAAAATACTGATAGTTCTGTCTTTAAAGCATGATTTGAATAACGCAGCAAGTGAAGTTTGTGTGGCAGCACATTAAGAAGAAAAGATAAACAGAATATTGAATTGCCAATATGTGATTCCATTTGTCCATCCTTATCCACCTGGAAGGAGACAGGAGTCATGTAGACAAAAATGTGATCATGTAGTAAAGCAGCACACAATAATACATTTACACAAGAGATAGCATTAGGATTACAAAGGTGCAAAGACAATAGAATGTTGTGAATGCTTAGTTTTCCCTTTTCCAGCAAGCTTTTAACACTGATGTTTGTATACAGGCGTGTTAACAGACATCAGCTTCAGTCTCTAAAATGACTGCACATGTCACTTCACAAAACAGAGGCAAAACGTACAGAGTCAACAAACGAATTTCCACTCTATCTCTCCCCGCCCAATGTGAAATTGAGAATGAATCAGACTGGATTTTTCAATTTCTCACCAGGCATTACCATCATTAATGCCAGCCTAAATAATTACATACCAGCAAGTTATCTTCAGGTGACTTGCACTGATGTAATCATCTGAGATTTAGAGGTAGTAACATTGCGTTTTATTTTTAGTAGTACAGTTGATTTCTTAAGCCCCCATATTCTCACCCATATTCATTCATTCCTGCCAGTTGTGTCAAAACAATCATTCATAGTTCTTAATGGTAAAACATATCCAGTAAGGCAAGAGAATAAGAAATCTTCCACTACCAATTTTTAAAGCTTGAAAATAATACAAATTAAGTAAAATTTTACCTGTAGAAATGCCATTCTTCTTCAAATTTTCAACATAGTCATTGCCAAAGGAATCCTTTCCAACCTATACAAAAGATAAAAGGATAGGTTTTCTTTACAGAAAGGTGAGAGGATAGATAGATCATCTTTAGACAACAGAATGGTCTAATGTAACTTGAATCTAACACACTTTCTGTTTTGCTGCACTTTGCCTTATTAATAAACAAATAATAAACTAATAAATAGTAAAAATGTGTTAACAGTATTAATAAATGATAGGAATAGTGTTCTGCAGTCTTCTCCTCTATTACAAAACTCCCCCCTACACCCATGTTGCTATATTCAAGTTTCATTCTCTTAAAACCACTGTCTTCCCTTAACACTGAAACTTTCTGGGTATTGAAAAATCTGCAAGTGTACTGAATCTTGTACTCCTGGATCACTATTCAGCTTTGGATTGAAAGCATTTATAGCTACTCTGGTGTCCTTCTCAATAGCAGTTCATATTTTGAGTTTTCTACCTCAAGTTTCCTCAGTGGAAAAATATTAAACTGTGGTTATGGTCTAGAAAGTGATGATAAACATGTCATTGCTGACTTCTATAATTTTCAGTACTAAGTGTACTGTTTACACAGTCCATATTTTTTGTTTGTTTTATCCAGCAACAGCAGATCAAGTTGAGTTAGGGAGTCACACTATGCTCTATCGTTTTTCTAAGAGCAAGCTAAAGAGCTCGTAATTTCAGCTCCACTAATCCTTTCAGCTGAACAGAATTCTGCTTGCTGTTTATTCAGACTAATAAACATTTCTTTTTGTTACATCACACAAGCAGAACAAAGGAGATGAGGTATCTGGAGAAAAAAAATAGTATAACTTGCTTCATGTCAAATAGCACTTCAAATATACTTACAAAGCAAACATAGCTTTTAATTCACGAGTTTTAGCCTATGTCTTCAGCATGCATAGTGTGTGCTCCTACTTCCAAGAGCAAGTTGTGTATCTGAGTGGTATCAAAGACTGATCAATGCTATAGCAAGTGTTTTTGCAAGAGAAAAAAAGCCATCTTTCAGATTAGAAGCCAAACCAAGATCCTGGTCACCGTCTAGACAATGAAAGAATTACACAAGGAGGCCTAACTAACGATCCATCTTCTCATAAAAGAGCACTAAATAGCTAACACTGTACTTGAGCTACTGGAAGCACAAAGCAGCTGCCTCTGCTGCCCACTGTTAGAAATTTGTCTGCTCATGAGCTCAGTCCTTTAGAAAGTTCGGAGAAGGGCTGAGTACTACTGAGTGATCACAACAATCAAACCCTGCAATTCAAAACTCTAAAATTTAAGTGTCATGGATGGATGATCCTTCCCCCCACATATTCTATTGCACAACCATATATTGAAACATACTTTCATTTCCTATAGCGTCTGTACGGGATTTTTCTAAAGCATTATTAGGGACAATGCCAGTCTTTTAACAAAGGAGGACAGCAATTTAGGTCAAAACAGTCTAACCAGACGGATCATTCCTCTAGTACATGGAAAAAAAAAACAACCACCCAACAACATCTCCTTTGATCACTGTGTTATTCGTTGTTTGCATATTAGAATATTTCTGCATCTCTGACTACTCCCAGTTTGCCAGACAGGGCGGGTTGTCAGAAACTGCACCTTCTGACTGCTTTAGGCTGGATGACTGCAGCCACCCGCAATTCAAACCTGAGTCGTGCCCACCTCTGCAGCCTAACAGTTGTACTACTGGAACGCGTTCCGCCTGATGGTATCACCTTCTCCCTCTCTTGCTGCTACAAAGCTCCTACAACAAATCTCAGATTTTGCTCAGTTATTTCAGCAACAAAATATTTCATAACCATTTTCCAAAAGCTCAACTGAAACTTCCTTCCTTCAGCCCTGGGTCCTACACAGCTGACAGACAGGCATCCCTTATTGTTCAACTGTCGCAACAACTGAGATCAGCCGTGGTACTTTTGCTCGCAGCGAAACATCTCAGTGCTGGAGGAAAGCCCTTGGAGGGGTCTCCACGGAGGTCCTTTTCCTCTGGAAACTTTTTTCCATGTTAGTTCACCAGCATCCAACCCAGTTAATCCTGGTGCATTTGAAGGGCTTATCTTTCCATTCAGGCTTTACCCCCAAGGAAGACAGAGTATTGGGCAGACTCATTTTAGATTAAAGGCACATTTACTGACCATGTCAAATTATATAACAATGTTTTAAATATTTTCTGCTTTTGTACAGACCCTGCTAGATGGACTGTTGGGTTAACAGAAAAATAAATGTCTCAGTCTGCTGACTGCAGAACATTGTATGTGCTGAAATAGCATTTTTTCTTTCTTGAGTTCTTAACAACAATAGCCATTTGTACAAGCATTATGGTCACATAGTTTGCATATTAGAATGAGAGGAATCACATCAGTATTTTTCAATCTGTGTTCTCCCTGCTTATTACCATGTTTTCCACGTGGAGCTAGGGGAGCTGGCTGGCATCGTAGCAGCTAAAATTCTAGCAGCTTAGAGAATCAATCTCATCTGTACCTGAAAATCAATTACAACAAAAACACGCACCTCTTGACAATTGTTTGTTTAATCTCTTCTATACGCTCTTTTTTTTTTTAAGAGTGTTTAGTCTTTTTCTTCATTAGGGAGTTAAACAGGTACTAAAGACAAGTATAAGACAGTAATGCAAAAAGGAAAAAAACAATTGAAGATATCCATCATATTCTGGGCTGCATCTGAGGTATAGCCACGTTCTTACAAAGAAGTGAGGACTCAGGCCTACAGCACTTCAATTTGGTTTACAGATCATCTAAAGAGAGAAGACTACATAGCATGGTAATACAGCACTTCCTATTTCTAAGGAGGAATCAAATGCAGCTGGGGCTTCAGTAGAATTTAGTATATGCAATATCAGATTAGTGACATCAATGTCCATTTAGGATCATTCAAATTTGCTTGTCAGAAATAAAACGTGACTTTTTTCAGCACATACAATGTCTTTCAGACCAACATCCATCCACCATCTTAGTCTAGGCTTTTTAAGGGATTTTTTTGGTGACTGCCACTATAAAAATGAAAAAAAGAAAAAAAAAAGAAAAAAAAAAGGAAAAAATAGTTTGGGGTCTCAAGACCACTGTGCATTTTTCAGTAGTGCAACAGGGTTCTTTTATGAACATGAGCAATTAATTTAGTTGCTTAGATCCTTTAGCTCCCTGACACTAATCCTTTACACTTCTCTGAACAACTGTCTGTCTTATCTTTCTGAAGTGGCAACTATTTCATCAATACATTGTTTTACTGTACTGAGCAAATTGAGGAGGGGAATTTAACACTGATACTGTGATACATATTGATAACCCAGAGTAACAGCGGCCACTTGCAGAGACATCCAGGCAGAAAGCAGAACACTGTTTGCATTTCCACTACTCAAACTCAGGATTTTACTTTGAACTCCACTGCATTCTGTGGCATCTCTAGTCATAACTGTAAGTCTTTCTAAAACTCTCTCTAATCCTCACCAGATAGTCACTGTCTCTCTTTTGTGTTTTAAAGCTCTGAGGTATGAAGAATGCCTTGTCACTTGATCTGTCTACCTCTACACTTGTTGAGGACATCCTCTAAATGACAGTCCTCATAAGAGGATGCCACATTCCAGCAGAATGTCCCTCTAGTATTAATACTGATTCCATTCCCTGAACTTCAGACTGCAGAAGAAATGGTTGCACTCGTATTGGATAAAAAATGTTGGGAATTACGACCAAAATATAAGTATGTTACTGAGCACAGAGTGTTGTGTGTGAGGGGCAATCTGGCTTTAAGAACTACCAAATACTTCAGATGACTTGTTAAAGTAAAAGTAATGGAATTGTAACAGCTCATTATTGCCTGACTCATCTTAGTTTATTCAGCAAGAAACTTTATACTACATCGCATTGGCCTATGCAGATACAAGACTGTACTGAGTCTATAAAGTGCATTTTTAATTTAAAAAGTAAATATTAACTTTTAAAATTAAAAAAGTAAAATATGCTAACATTTATAGATACTAAGAGTCATTCTCTGCTGTTTCCTTTCTCCAATAAGTACACATCAGAAAGAAAGAAAGAAGACCAGGTTTTACTGAAATAACCTAAATATGAGTTTGGAAAGTAAGTGGAAATTATAGTAACTGTTAAATTTTATTAGGAATGCAAATGTTTCCAGAAACATGTATGCACTGAGCAAAGGCTAGACCACTAAAAAATCAAAAAAAATTCACACTTTCAGTGGAAAAAAACCCTTTAACATTTAGCAGGAAATGTTAGCAGGGAATTCATTGCCAGTTCATATTGTACTTGAATCTGATCGTTCTTGAATGCAGAGACAATCAAATATACACAATGTTACAGAAGCACAAACATTGCAGATATAAAAAAAACCTCACACTGTAGAACAACTAGTGATAATGACCCACAGAAATGCTTGCACGTGCAATTTAGATTTATAGGTACCATTATTTAGCCTAAATTTTGGCTTGGAAAACCAGCGAGAAAGGCTTACTTGAGATGTTTCCAGTACTTCTCAAAAAATGCCTGACAGACAATGATCCAACAAACCCAGCATCCTCCCCAGCTATGACAATATCAAAGTACGTCCAGTCAAGTTGAAGTTTCATCTACAGTTAGCACAGGACAGACAATAAGGCTACAGAGAGAGAAAATTTGATTTTAACCTTGCTAATGATCACTCAAAACTTATAATCTTTAATGACAAAAATCAAAGAGAAGCACTGTAAGAATATAGCATCTGCCAAGCTGAATCAGCCCGATCATCTGTGGGCCAGTCTACAAAACTGCTGTATATCAGATGTTCCAGAAAAATGGGCAAAAAAATCCCAAAGCATGCAAAGATTCTAGAATTTGGATGTGAACATCTCATCCTGATATCAAGTAGTGAGATAATGATTTAACCCTTGAAGCACAAAATTTTATATTCCTTCTCAAATTTGTTACTGGCTTGTTAATGTCTGATTTTTAATCACCTACAAAGTAAATTTCAGACTGACTATAGTGCCTAGCACCTAAATGGCATCAATGAAGCCCTGATCATTGTAACAGTGGGGAACATAAAGAGGAGGGGCTAATCAAGATTACTTGAATTTTGAACATTGTCAGTTCTCTCCAAATCTCTTTTCCATGGTACATCGATCTAAGTTTTGCAGTCCTCCTTTATATACAATTTCTGCCAGATCTCTAGCTGACTAGTCTCTGGTTCTGCCAGTGTTCTTAAAACAGCCTCCTTCATGCTTAAATTTATAGCTGAAACAACAAAAAGGGAATTAGAGAGGGGTTAAAAAAAAAAACCCAACAACTTTCTGTAAGTCACCTAAAGATTTACAGGACTTTGCACGAACGCTTAATCCAAGAGCAAGTCAGTGCTTACCTTGCAGATCAGCGAGGTCGTGGCCCCAAGTCGAGCAGACTGGACACACTGGTTGGCTCCTTTCCCACCAAAACCAATGAAAAATTTATGTCCAAGGATAGTTTCTCCAGCTCTTGGCAATCGTGTCGTAAGGCTATTCCAATTTAAAGCAATATTTACACTCATTAGTGACTGAAAATAACAAGCATCTTCAAAATAAGAGTTACATTCTTATAATCCTAAATGGTCCAACAGTCAGCCAGTAAGATCAAAAAAGACTTGAAAGACCTTTTCGGGTCTCTAGCCCACATCCCACCAGTTTAAGTTTATTCCTTATATGCCACCCAGTCAAGCTTCTCATTTATTACTCAAGAGAGAGACTGCATTTCTGTTGTTTGTGTTTCATGTTTCCACAGAAAAGAAGCATTTGATCCCTGACTGGGATTCCCCAGTGCTAACTCAATATAGATTAGTAACATATCTATAGCTCTCACCGCTCATGTTGTTTTACTGTAATATTCAGCTCAAGTTTACACATTGTTCATTTAATTTCATTACATCTAATTATACCTTCTTGAACCACCCTAAGTAATATTTCACTTTGCTGGTGTTCACACCCCTCAAAACTGTAGATCATTACCAGAACCTTCCCTCCCTCTGCTGTCACTCAGGTGCACTGTACATGTTTAACTTTTTAAAGTTCTGCTCTTACAAATCAAGCTTTACAACTTCTCAGCATTTTCTTGTTTCTTGAACGCACTACAATTACATTTACATCCTTCTGGGGACGGGTGCCCAGAACCAGATGCACTAATAATACAAGCAGAGATCCATCAGGAGTGTATCCTGGTTTAATTTCCATTTTGGAAAAAACAAAACAAAACTGTGATTTTGTTAACACTACCAGATGCTTTGCTATCTCCAGCAAAAGTTGGAAGGAAGACACCATCAAGACTGTGTAGAAGACTTTCTCCGAATGCAAAAGGGTAGCTTACTTTTGCCATTTGTATTAACATACGTAACTCCAAGCTGTGTTTACAACACTCAGATTACCAAAATTTCTGCCTCCTCAAGCCATACATTCCAGGCACAAGGTCTAAAAATGGAATTCCTTCTATTTCTTAAACTACAAACAAGTTCACAAGACGTATGGAGGGAAGGCCTCCCACAATGTACTAGCAACCCATTCAGTCAATGACATTTACCTTAGACAGGTGTCCAAAAGTCTGCAGGAAAGAAAGGGGGAGTGGGGAAGAGGAGTCTGAAAGAATGTAGAGGAATCTGCCCTAATGCGGAAGAGATTAACTTCAGCTCTGTTTATCAATTTATAACATTATTTTCCAATAAATCTTACAACACCTTCAAAATTGCCAGCCCTCCAATTCAGAAAAAAGGTGACATGCTTCTGTGCTCACAAAGCACTACAGAGTGCTTTTTGAAAAGATATCAGGAATACGTGTGAATTACTTTCTGAGTTTGTCCTGCAGCTTCTGGGGCATAAAGGTGATTGCAAAATGTTATGGAATTAATGGTATAACGCAGCCTTATTTACTGAGAATTCTCAGTAAAAAGCAAGCATTTTTTCCCTACTAATTTTCAATTCCAGCATCCACCAGTCCAAAGGTTTAGGATCATCAGGAAACCAAGAAAACCTAAAATTAAACTAGTGAAGCCAAACAAATCCTGAACTCCCAGAAATTATTAATATTTTTGCTTTGAAGGAGTTGTTATAGGTCTGTGCTTCATCGGTAGTTACAGCTTCCAGAGAGATGCAGATAAGGATGCAGACTTTAAGCAGGGATGCTCACTAACAGAGCACCCCAGATTTTAGTGTGAGGGTATGGTACCCAGCCAGCAGGTTTATTTTGAGTGGGTGACCACAGAGAAACCCCAGAAGCTCACACGTACAGCTAATGGCACTCGTTTTGTTTCCAGAGAGGCAGAGCCGGCAACATTCTGTTGGGAAATGTCTAAGCCATTTTAAATAAAAGTGTAACAGCTTTTTAGAAGTCTACTTATGGGTACCTTGTATATACACAAAGAGTTAAAACTGTTTGCCCACAGCAGCATCTGGCAGGTTGTTTACAACAATGATTAACTGTAATGTTTCAAGGAACAAGGTGTAATGATTGTAGATAAAAAATGTTTATTAATGGTAACATCTATAATTTATCACTACTTTCACCACTGGAAGTCAAAGTAGTGATGGTTGTGAACCAGAGAATGAAGGCCACAAAACTCAGCTGAGGAAGCTCTTATTCAGCCAGTGCCAGGGTACTGCACGCGCACTTCCAAAATTATGTGCCATCCACTAAAGAAGAGTTGTTTCACCCAGCCTTAGTAAGAAATAGTAATAGTAGCTCTTGTATAATTCCTTTCATCCACAGATCTCACTACACTTTAAAAAGCAGAACAACATCATTATTCCTGTTTTGTGGTTATGAAACTTAGGCAAGTCATTTTGCCTTTTTATGCCTCGGGTCAGCCAAGAAGCCAGTGGCAAAAACAAAAATAGAGATCATCTCAATCCACTAGCTCACACTGTCTTCTCATTTAAATTCTACAGTATGAAAATGGTATCAAGTCTCAATTAATTTTCCTTCCTTAGCGTGTTTTTCAGAGATTATAGCTTATTCTAAATAGAATTTGTTTCCACAAAAAGCTAATGTATTTTTAGACAAAGATTAACAATTGTGACATCCAAGCAGACATCTGCTGATAGCACTGCTCTGAGTTCATATGCATTTTCAAGAAGTATGTTCAACCATACATATTCTTATTTTAACAGTGACCAGACCATGACTTGATTCTTCTCTCAGTTATGTTGGCATCAACATGCATCTCCAATGGAAGCATCATGGTTGCACTGGTGAAGAAACAGGCTTGGTGAGAAGAGAATCCGGGCCTCACTGTTTGAAGCATCATGGCATAACTGCCTGTGGGAATCAAACAGCTTGTTGAAGATGGGGAGATGACCTTTTTTATTGCTTTGATGGAAAGGTACAAGGCAAAGGGCAAAGGATCAAGTTGGAACAGTGTTTTATAATTGGCCAATTTAAAAAATAGGCTAACAGACCATGCAAGAACATGCAGCAGTTTCCTGTAGCTCACTGTAAACAAAACCCCCACCTCATTACATTTCAGGCACGATCACCAATCCTTTCAGACCAATTCTTCACTCCAGAAGCCTATTTTAATATTCTATATACAACAAATTCAGAGTACTGATCTATATATAAGCCTGGAGGTTTCACTTTCACTGAAACAAGATATTCAAGATTTTCTTTTTTGCTAATATAGTGCTATTCTCTTGTCATTTAATTCTGCAACTATACTAACTTTTGATTCACATCAGACAATTTTAATGAGCATTTCAGGCTTCTGTTATGAGCAGGCAATGATGAGCAATCTGTATGATTAAGGAACCCTATAAATTCTTGGCTTATTGATGGTGCCACAAAGAATACTCAAAATAGCCTAAAAGTGATGAAACAGCTAATGTTACTCCAAAACCAGGCTAAGGAAGTTAATTATAAAAACTGTCACAAGGGCTTTCAGAATTGTTACATGAAATGTTTTGTAAAGCCATTTACAACTTTGACGTAATTTGAAAACACTGACCAGAAAAACTGATTTTAAGTTGCTATCCAACAGAGTACTCTTTACTTATGTGATAAATTCTGCTCAGCTTTGAGAGTATAAATGGTACAAAGGATAGTGAGTTCTCATGTCTTCTGAACAACCAGAAACTAAACTTTAAAACCCACAACACTTATTAGATGGGAAATAAAATTACTATACGTTTTGCAAATTGTTCACTGTACTACTGAATCACATTTATAGAGAAAAATTCAGACTGAAGCATCCTGAAATACTTCCGACTTTACAGATAAAGGAATACAATCACTCAGAATTTCAACTTTTTTTTAGAAAACAATATTTAAATATAAAGTGCCCACATTTGGTCATGGGAAATTAAGAGCCTTACATCCCCTTACATTTCAGAGGTTTGCGATGAATAAAAGTACACACTTAAGATTTTCACCATTGCAATAACTTCAACCTTCTCTTCCAGTAAGTGTGTGCCATGAGTTCCCTTAAAGGCTAGAGCTGATTAGCATTTGTATGTTTAGACAGACATCCCTTTGGAAGGATGGCATCAGAAACGGAACAGAACCCTTTACTACTGTTTTGAAGCACTGAATCAGAGGTGAAAGCGCAAACTTACTGAGTCATTAATGCCCCTTTCCCTTGTATTCTGGGTTTTCTTGAAAAGTTCCCATCGAAGCAGTGACTAGATCATATTCAGAGATAGAAAGTCTGAAGAAGGAAGTAGGGGAAATGGAGAGATGTATATTAGCAGCATTTGCATAAATTAATCCTGAAATTAATCATGGTTTGCTTCCGATTCCTGACACCTAACCAGTTTCTGTTCATTGTTTTCAACACACGAAAGTACTGTGAAGGTGTATTATTACTGTTAGCTTAAGCTGATGCAAAACCATGCCCTGCCCCCAGCAGCATTTTCCCACAGTTTCTCTTGCACTGCTTTTATTGCTCACAGAGCTTCCTAATTCAAAATATTTCTGTGCCAAGGGTCATTTTAATTTGGATCAGCAAATTGGTGCAACTTACTGTACAGCAGCCAGGGTGGGCCAGAACTTGCAGGATTGAGGAGAAGGTGAGTGAGGGGAGGAGCAGGAGCGCCTTTTTTGGCAGCAGTACAGCCAGACCGCCCTAAGCCAATGCTGAAACTTTGACTTGATACTACTTTGTAGTTGAAAACACCGAATGCTATGTAACTAAGGTTTAATTAAGTAGTACAGTATACTGAGCTCATTAGACAAACTGAGGAAAAGCATAAAGTATCAGTATGTTTCTGAGAAATGACATGCGCATGAGAAAGGAAAACAGAACAGTATATAAATATTTTTCTCCAAAAAAAGAGAAAACAATATTCTCATCAGGCAACTCAGAAGGTAAGCGAATTTGTACATTAGATATCACATTACCTAGGATGACTGTCATTTACATAGTATCAAAAGAAACATTTGGACTTTTTTTTTATTCCTCAAGAAAGGTGAAGATAATCACGGGTATCAAAATAGCAGCAGAAATACTGCATTTAAAAGCGTCTTAATAAAAAGGAATATAATATAAATGTCTAGAATTTAGCTTTGATTCTG